ATTCAGCTGCGAAACCAGGATGATAAGAATTTCAATTTGGTTTTGGGTTCAAGTGCACTTTGGCTTTCATCGATGATTGGTATATTGGTGAGGAGAACATAGTCTCTACGTTTGAACGGTTGACACCAGAGTGGGCGGTCTCCCTTGGACACAAATACCCCAGAGAAGAACTAAAAAGAAAATGTAATTAAACTCGTAAGTTTATTACATTGCAATAAGACACTATTTCATTAATCATAGATCAAATATTGTCCGTTAGCTTACAGATATATCTTATTCCCATTGCTTCGGAGAGTTGTTCAAAGTAACACTATCGCTTGAAGGTGCTTTATCTTCCAAACTCAAAACGATAAAACAACGGCGAAAGAGAAGACTACAGCATATAACACCCAGAACAAAAGCGTAATATCAATAAGGAGACTGCATTTTGTAGTAAGGTTTTTTTTTTATTACAAGCATATTTTTACTTTCAGATGCAAAAGAAGCCGTTTCACTCGAAAACACACGTACAAACAATATTTCTTTTTTTTTTTATAAAGAACAATGATGATTTATGGAAGTCCAGAAAAATAGAGCAAGAATCAAAATTAAACGTGATTCCATTACTTTGATATTTTATTATTCAAGCATTTCAGATAGAAGAGATTGAAATATCAATGTTTTCAATGAAATGTAAATCCTAGACAGAGCTTGGCTTCCTCTCGGTGACTTTGAGATGTGATTTTCTCTGTTACTTTCCCTTGAGTAACATCAAAATCGACGTCCTCAATGCTTGGTATTTCGGCCGAAATAAGTTCGCAGATTTGGGGGAAATTATCATTTTACCTTCTCAGCTGGTACGTTTTTTGGATCCCTGTTTACTAGCTCATTCGTCATTCAATACTTAAAACAATCACATCTTAACTTGTTTTACAGGAAGAAACAAAATTCCGTTTCTCTTAGAATAGGAAACACAAGCTGGAGCTCGTGCAAAAAACATGCGTTCATGAGCAAGAGTTGTGCGCCTGTAAATATCACATCAGCAAGGAGTAATATGATGACACATCTAATCAACTTCTCATGTTCTTTCCTCTGCGATTTTCAAAACCTTTCAGAAAAAAGAATCTACGGGACCCCGTTTTTTCGCTTTATAACGTACTAATCTTGCCGGTAGATCAGTATTTCCGCTGAAAATGCAAATGTTTGAGTTCGATGTCAAGAATTGTACTTTAACAGCTGAAAGCCTTAGCAATCTCAGCAGTTATTTGTGTTAAATGGAACTTGGAATTTTTCCTAAAATTCACTCTGGGGTGATTCCAACACTTTGTATATTTGACTGCCATGTAAATTTTGTATCTGGCAAAAATATTTCAAAACACTTTTCTTGATACGTATTATAGATTTACTTATTTTTGAGAGTTTTATTGGGCAAGCGAGATGTCTGCAATGCGTGGTGGTGTATAAGAGAAAAATACTCCAGTCTTATGTTAACCTTAAGGTTGTGTCATAGAAATTCATCAATCGTGAAGACAGTAAAGGCAAAGGAAAGCGCAGAAGGAGACGTTTCAAATCTTCAAGTTCTTAAAATGGAAACTTGCCAAAAACTGGGCTTTGCCTTTTTTTCATTGCACAGATCCTTTCATCAAATCAGGTAAAAAAAATAACAGTTTCGTATCCTACAATGACTGGGAACAGATAGTGTTGATGATGGTCTTTAAAAATGTCATCAAGTATTGTTGTATTCTTTCCAGTTTTCTTCTTTATTTTGCCGCTCAGAATCACTCGTTAACAAATGTTATTTGAGCACATCATGATCATTGACGTCACTTCAACTCAGTTCCTAGATGGATCACGGCAGGCATCGCAACATCTGTACCATTTTAATACACGGTAAACGGATATACTATCCAAAATTGGCGAGCGCAAATCTTCATATTCAGAGAACTCCAGAGCACAGGCGAAATGTTTTCGGAAATTTTCTGATATGGGTTTATAATTGATGTAAATAAGACCAATTCGAAAACATGTTCCCCAGTTGCATAATTACCACGGTGAGTAGTATTATTACGAACCAACAAAATGGCCAGCTCTCGGTATCGCACAGGCCTGACTTTTTTTCAGGCCCAACTTTTGCTACTACTTAATTAGTGTTCATTTCTGCAAATATTGATTTAATATTCAATTCTTAATCCGTGGTTCACATAAATGATTTTCATAGAATCACTGTCAGAAAGAACATCTGTTTTATCGTTCCCTTTATCGTGTCTTTTTTAGTCTAAACATTTATTACAAAATGACCATACTGTGAAGGAACTTGGATTCAATTTGGATTGATTTTGAATAAGCGTACATGCAAATGATTACATAAAAAAAGGTTAGGAATTAATGGAGAAAAAAGAAAGAAAACTCTTTATTCGGATATGAAGGTTCGCCATCCTAGATCGATGCTTCTCATTCACACTTAGCTATGAAGGTTCTAAAGCTGGGAATGCAATATTTTTTAACGAATGATTTACAAAGAAATAAATTAGTACATTTAGATTATAACTTTGACATAAATACATTTCTTCCATTCGACTTAGCTACGTCATCAAATTGACACTATTTATCTCCTTGCTCTTTTAACTAGTTTCTAGTAGGCTTTGCTTGACTCCTCATGAAATACTATCATTTTTAGAGAGAGGAGTCGAGCTTCAAGGTTATGGCAATACGATTTACAGGGGAGTATGCTATTCGCTCTTTGTCAAATTTCACAACTTAAAGTAAAATGAAAAGACAACTCGTCATGAGGTTGTGTACCCAAATAGGTAAAGTGTATGTACGTAAAGCATAAAAGGAAATATCTTAATTACACACAAAGACGTTTGTTTGAAAAGATAACGCAATCGATTGCGTTTTCTATTCCAATTATTTGCTTATTTCAGCAGTATGAACTCAGTCATTTGACATCTAGCACGCGAGCTTATCTATCTTAAATAGTGGAGTCTGGAAGCCGTTTCCAACCTTGCACGTAATAAACAATCCCAATCAAATTCTTCTAAAACTGAAGTATTTTTTTTTTCTTATCATTTTTCGACGCCTTTTCAAATATGATGTAACAATTAGAAAACGTATTCCTACAGAGGGTGTTGTTATCGGAAATATGAGCTGATATGAAAGGAAAATGATAATCCTTTTCGAGAAACTGTTTTGAAAAATTTCAGTTTATGGAGCTGAATTCTTGCATCATATGAATAATGTTTGTTTTATATTACATCTTATTTTCGGTGAAACCGACGAACTCTTGTTAAAAGCATAGTAGACGCAAAATTTATTTAAAAAATGGAGATAGTATGACTGATTAGATTCGAAATCCTCTCAGCTGCTTTTACTGCTAATGGCATATATTACTTTCTAAGTATGGTTGGTTAACGATTCTCAGACTAAAATTATTGATTTCTGATCTTTTTTTGACTTTTGAACAATTTCAAGATAGACAAATAGCTTTCCTAAAAGTAAACGGAAATTATTTGATAGAGGCCAGGTTATTTGGCAAGTCAACTGTTCCAATGTCTCCGGTCTTCCGATGCACGTTCTCAGTACAAAGGCAAAAACTATCATTAAGACCTGTATTCGACACCTTTATTTGTTCATTCGCTTTAAATCGTTGTTCTCATTTTAGGTAAGAAAATTAGAATGAATTATCCCTTTTCCAATAAGAACAATTTTTTAAGACATACTCCTGCGGAAAGATTACAGTTTTCAATGGTACATCTGATGACAAGAGTAACGAAAAGGTGAAATGAGTCTCAGCGGATACTATTCCATTATGAATAATGAGGACTTTTTTCATGCACGTTAATCAGTTACTTAGCTTCTCCTCTTTTCGGTCGTTGTGGCAATGATATAAGACTAGAGACATGCACTGCCAATCATTATCAAAGTTGAGGATCAATTTTAAGTTTCCTTATCGTGTTCTTAGATCATGCTTAAAAGGATGACACTTACTGTGAAACTCAGATGTCGAAGAAAGACATTTGTGGCTTTGGATAGTAAACGACGATGCATTTATTAACTTCAAAACATTTTGGTTTCACAAAGCTGCAGCTGTTTGTTGATACAACGTAGCTTTGAGGTTTTTCCAGTGTTTTGAGGTAAAAGCGAAATTTCTTCAACTGATGAAAGTGATAAACTAAAAGTAAAGGAGATGGCGACCGTAAACACTTATTCCAAATTAACAGGGGAGTTACATTCAGTCACATATTTTTAATAGCTAAAGAAGGTAAGGAGGATAATTTCTGTTTTTGTTGAGTATTGCTATGTACACGCTTTCACCTGCCGGATAAAAAGAATACGCTAAAGAGTCATTTCAGTTGTTCCCCCCAAAAAGCGAAAAAATTGACCGAAAGTCAAGAATTGTACCAAAGACTTTTCATTTAAGCTTGAAACGCTTTTAGACGAAAGAAAATTGTCATTCAAACAGAGAGATCATTGGAATTCCCACGTTTACACGTACGTCAGGTGGGTGACAGTTCATTCCAGATGAAATGAATTTTAGGGTTTAACCTCAAATAACTGATTTCTCTTGTTTTTCTCGAAATTTGGTCAGAGGTATAAATTAAAAGTGGTAAGATGTTATGAAGCAACTGAAGAAGAAAAATTTTTATTGAAAGGCTGGTTGATCAAATTTGAGATTTTATTTGGAACGGATGTTTCATGAAGAGATTGTTTTTGAACTCCGAATACGTCAAAATGCAAGTGAATTCTCAACAGCTTTTTGCTTAACATTCATTCTAGATCGAGTCGCTGTCTGTGTCACAAACGCTTCAAAACTAGGTATTTCATCGGGAAAATTACGTCAAAGACATGGAAATTGAACAAAAAAAGACGCCGCCAGCCAGCTTACGGTTGAATTATATCTGAAAGCTTTGCTCGATGGTAGCACTAGTGGACACAATCTGTGACAAAACAGCGAAAGGAAACGTTGCTTAATATGACGTAAGGCAAACTTTTCAGGTTTTTTTTCTCCATTTATCTTGAGAATGGTGAAGGTTTTGAAGTATTTACCAAAGACGAAGTTCGTGAAATTTTGGCACTCAGTATTGTTGACTTTTTAATGAGGGTACGTTCCCCCTTCTTGCCTTGTTTTATAGCAGAGACGTGTTGAAGTGATTCTTAGAAGTTATCACGATTTTAGACACTTTTAGGGAAAGCTGACGATAGTGAACAATCATTTTATTCAGCACACAGTAGCAGTCAGTGCATAATTAATAGTGTGATTAATCATTCTTTGCTCAAACAAATATATAAAGTAGTTCTTAATATTGTGCAGACGATCCCATGGTTTGAATGAATACAAACGAGTTAGATTAACCTCATGGAATGCCACAGAGCTATCTTTGTACTGGAAAATCTTAACAACATACCGTGGCTTGATTTATTTCCAACTCTGTGGAACCTGTACAGTCTCAGATTTTGGACGGTGGAGAATTTTTTAGGCAGAACTATAGATGCAGCGATCAGGTGACCGGCCAGACAAAGCGACTATTTACTGATTCACTCCTGATATAATTTTGTGCCATTCTTTTCATAAATTCCAAAGCAATAAATTTTATGTCGATTTCTACTGTCAGTGTTCGCTATTACAATTAACGCTTAAAAACAAAATATCAACAAGTGATCTTTTCCCTAATGAAAAGGTCATATTTACCAAAGTTGGCATCCAGAGTAATTAATTGGTTGGCCGTTCAGGGTAAATTAATGGAGGGGCACTTTGTAGAGTAGTTTTCTCCAAGAGAACTATAGGCGAGAAAATTAATTGCTAATTCCAGCGGTAATCATCAAATGTTTAGAATGTCTCTATCCAATAACAACTGAAGGAATTTCGAGACTTAGGTAATGTTACCATGATGTTACGAAACATACAATCTAGTAAAAGTTCTTTTTTTTTTGGATACAAAGAGAAAAAGCTGCCATTTAATCTCACATTAAAGTTTGTTTCTTGAAATCAAAATTAAGCGAGGGCTATGAGACTAAGTGGCTAGCGTTACTTTTTTTTCTTGCAGAAGATGGCAAGAAACTCAACAAAGATTTCAAATAGCACAGGTCAGTCGAGCTGTAGTCAAGAAATACTGGACGGCGAGTCCTATCACTATGATCTAAACATCTCAATTATTGTGATAAACACACCGTTTGCTATATTTGCAATCCTTAGCAATCTTTTGGTGATAAGCACAATCTGTAAGTCTCACCAACTTCGAGTCCCTGCCAACGTTCTACTTTGTTGTTTGGCCATAACAGACCTATTAGTTGGCTTAATTACTCAGCCTCTATTTGTTACGTGGCGCCTGATGTTACACTACCAATCAACCATCTGTAACTCCGAAGTTGTTCATTCTCTTTATGAAGCTTTCCTTCACCTGTGCACGGGTGGCTCTTTCCTCTGTCTGGCATACCTTAGTACGGACCGTTTCTTGGCGGTTTCCAAGCCGTTATATTATCGTGCTCACTTCACAAAAGCACAAGCCGCGCGTAATATGATCATACTGTGGCTTGTATGGATTGGTATCGTCGTTCTCCGCTACTCGGGTATTGATGAAGAAACCAATCAAACTATTACCTCGGCCATTGCCGGAACGCTGGTAATATATCTTCTTGCTGCTCAGATAGCCTTGATTATCAGCATCAAACGCAACAGTATTCATACCTTGCTTTCAGAAGAAAACACCGCTAATACCGCTTATAAAAGAGAAGCAAGAATTGCATTAACCATTGTTTACATTTTCTTAGCTCTCCTGGTTTTACTCCTTCCTGCTGTGGCTGTGCAAATTGTTTTGGGATTCACCAGCAGTAATCAGAGTAAAACCGAATTGAACTTAGCCATTTCAGCTCTTCTGATAAACTCCTCTGCAAACCCGCTTATCTACTTTTGGAGAAGCCGAGACATGCGTAAAGCAGCACGTCTTCTTTTCCTTGGCCCTGCAACCAATAATGGAGCAACCGGTAACAATGGGTCTTCCGATAGAAACAGCGGTGGCAATAGTGGAAGATCTCTTGAGGATGCTGTGTAGAAAAACTAAAAACTCTTACTTTAAAAGAAAAAAAATTAAACAACTTTCGATAAAGTATATATATATGTGTAATTTCTCCAATGGCTGTGTTTCAGCGTAACCCAACAGACAAACTCCAGTACAAGTAAATTCCTGAACTTGAAATTTTCATACGTACTCTGATGAGGGAGATGGTGTACGATATATCACATGTTTCATGCCGGCAATATGTAAACCGGCACTTATCAACAAATAATCCACTCCTTATGCGCACGTATTTAACACACGCTACAAAAATCAGCAATGGCCCGCAAAGGTAAACCTGAGGCTCAGAATAATTGAAAAGACTGAATTGAACGTCAATAGAAACTTACTGGATTGACAAAAAATGTGTGAAACAATTCATGATATGTCGGAGATAAAACCTCTCCTGCTCTATTGATATGTATGCAAGTAATTAAAAACGGGTTGATATGTAAGTAAACCCTGTCACCTGCTGGTGTAAACCATGAAGTGTCAAATGACTTGGGAAAGTCGGTGCAACATAAGCATGAATAGTGAAAATTTATTTTTTTGTTTAGGAAAACGTAAATACGCCTAATGATTTTCAAAATTGTGTTTGCATTTAAAGTGAATAATAGAGGTCACCTGGCAACATTTTCTTTCTACTTTAATTGTTCCATTAAATCTATTTAAGTTGAATACGACTGACGTGAATAATTAGCATATTAAAATTATGTTTAGTTCCGTATATAGGTGTTGTGCATCCGGTCTCGTCGATTGTCGACTGCTAAATGGCAAAATTTACATGCGTATTTCGAAAGGGGAATTCAACGATAACTCTTTTTGAAAAGTGAGGTCTAAATTGAAATGGACGGAATACAACCTGAAGTCCTTGTTGTGCTTCTTTATCTGTCGTTAATTTACGAAATTATCGTTGGCGTGAGGATACGAGGACAACAGTCATATGAAAAGATGAGGAAAGTGTCGGTCAGACTTGGAAAGCCGTCATTCGGCAACAGTCGGTTGACGAACACAAGACCTGAAACTCGACCAGCGGAGAATCTCAATCAAACATATCGACATTTTGTACAGATGAGGATTTTGGCGAGAGATTAGACTAACATCAAGTCTGAAAGTCTCATTTATTGGAGCCTTAGTATTGGAAGATCTAGAAAAGGAATCACAGACTCAGCCATCGAATATTGATAGAGTCGCGCTTTGAGCTTTGGAGTGACATCCATACTAATGAGTCAGCACACATGGAAAACTGAAAACTCTTACTGAAAGATTTATTGTGAATCAAGGCTCGCCTTCTCATAAGAATACAACAAACTTTGGCTGTGTGAACACATCTGCATTGTAAGTCCGGATTAAGAAGGCCGCTTTATATATGTTTGTACATCTTTCTATTACTTGATGTCATTTAATATCACGAGCAGTCTTTCTTTTCAAAACAATTCGTAATCCAGCGTTCTCTAAATATATTTCACTCTGGTTCTAAAGAAATGGATAAAGAGTACTTATCAGCATTAGTCGTACACCCTTAGAAAGCAAATTACCGAAAAATACATTTTTTCTTTTTAAGATAAGCCAACATCAACAATCCGCCCATTATAACATATTTAGCTTTCATGATCACAGTAAATAAGTCAATATGTTAACGCAATATATGTCTGAATCTTTTTCAGTGTTCACCTGTTCATGCATATACTGAATAATTATGCAAGATCTCTCAAAGGAGTGCATTTATTTGTATTCTCCTGAGGCTATTTATTCTACTCTCACTCAATATTGGCTTAAAGCTTTACCTGTAGGGGTATAATACATGTATTCGGAACAGAAGTTTAACATTGCTCATCACAAGGGATTGAAACATACCATGACAACATTTCGTAACATGTATGATTCACTTCTCTCCCCCCCTCCCCCCCATCACCCTTTCTTTTAAGATTTCCGTCTTCCTTTTTTGAGCAGGTGGAGAAGCTGACTTTGACTAAAAGAATAAAACAAACCGGTGATAGGTTTGGTTTGGTGAACAACGAACAAGAACTGTGCTTAATAATATTGAAAAAGAAGTGAATTTTTGCTTCTCCACTTGGTAACGGTACAGTTGTGAACTATTCAGCCATTTTGCCACGAATATATCGAATTAGGCTCACCAAAAGATCGCTATGAGACATCATTAAATAAGCTAAAAATCGACAGGAGTCAAAAGTACCTTATTTATGAACTTAATAGATTCAACATTTTCTTCCTGATTTATAAACTGCTGTCAATCTTGTTTTAAGCGCAGTTAGACATACATTCAATAAGCGCAGCGTAATTTGCAAGAGTCTAGCAAAAAATCGGGGGACAATTTCAAGGTTTAAAGCTTATTAGCTGCTTAATTTTCCCTATTTTAGCCTCTTAGAACCCAGAGGATATTGGGTAAGAGTTTGATAAAATGGATACAAATAAACCTTCTAAACTCTACGCTAGTTGAGTTGTAATTTTATTAAAATACTTTAAGAAATGTCAAACAAATGAGTCTGATTGAAATAGTTCCGAATCAAGGTTCAAACGACCTTTGCCATCCTCCTGCAGCGCAGTTCTCAGGCTAGGAAATGGCCGGAAGAATGCTTGGAAGGAATTTTGTGGCCAAGAAACCTCTCAGTTTTAGGGAAGCGCTTTCTTCTTACCAGTGTATGAAAACGGCCGGAGTATGTTGGTACCAAACATTGACTCTGCCAACTTATCACATTATCCTAAATTCATGGAAATTTGGGTCCTCTTTTTCAACCTTGGAAGGTGAGCGTGAGCCTTTTCCTTCCTCTTGTAAAGGGACAAACCCAAAACACCCCAAACTCAGCAAGCAACGTTTGAAACTAGCCTCTGCCCCAATCCTCTCACGGCTTTGCAGCTCATCGCTTAAGCACAAGCAAAAACACTAGCCACACAGCCTACTCGTCTTCTGGTTCTGTTGTTCTTTNTCCTCGTTGCAAATGGATTAATGGCAGTTTGTATCGTCAAATATTTTTCAAGGCCTATATTACAAGACATTGTTGGTTCACTTAAAGAGGCTTTGTTTTCGTTATCGCTAATGGCGACTGATAACATGGCTAGAAGCACTTTCCTGCTAAGGCTGTAGGGTTTCTTTCGCACGAATTCGGCGAATATCTTCTCTTTGAGGGGTAAGGTGATTCCTACAGGGCTCTCCATATCCTCAGTACACTTTTGATTCTGGTATTGCTGAGAATCACGAGATCCCTTGAAAGTGTAGACAATTCATATATTTGGATATTTCAATTACAGAAACATGCTTTAATGGATTTTTGCATAATTATAAGATTGCGCCAGGTGTTTCTGACAGCCAGTCAGCATGATTGATCACTAATCAATACCTTTCTTTGCAAATTTTTGATAACATGGTAAAAGCCGCAAGTGTTTAAGTGGGTCACTCCAAAGGGATTTGAACTCTTCTCTTAGGTAAGCAATCTCTTTCAAATTTTTACACTTAAAACTCTTCAACTCTGAGCTTTGAACTTCGCTCCGTCCTCACCCTGGGATTTTCACAGCGTTGTATCTTAAAAGGATTTAAATTGCTGAATCGTAAACGCTTTTTATCACCAAGCAATTCATTCGGCCGTTCAAAGTAAACAAAACAATGTTTTTAACAAATGATGTCGTTAGTTTTAATTCCTGTTAACGAAAAGACCAAAAAGTATGTAGGAATTTTAATATCGCATTAATACTTTGGACATAGTAACAATCAACATATATGTTATTAACCAAGCGTGAGGTCAAGAGGGCTGGATATTGGCCGAGTTTTTTTTTTTTTAATTTTTATGGACCGAGACGAACACGAGGTCCATAAAAGTGCGAAAAAAGAACGAGGCTAATATCCAGCCATCTTGACCCACCGAACAAGCTTGGTTAATAAAGGATTTATCATATTTCAAAAAGATTTCGCTTTATTAAGAATTAAGAATCGCTTGTTTACATCGAGAGCCGGGAAAGAAAGCCATGCTAGAATATGAAAAAAATATGAAATAT